AAAAAGGCGCGGTTGCTAAACCATTCGTCAAGCATGGTAACTATTGCAAATGAGGCTATATGTGGGGGAGATTTAAGATACTAAAGGCGGTTGGATAAAATTAATTATATCACAGGCTCTGGAGGCTATTAATTGCATCGTAAGGCCTCTAAGGTCGCTGGCTACTTATGTCACTCTACCCTCCCCCTCCTCCCATCCATATATGCTGTATCTTTTAAATAAAACTTATTATACTTTCTATATTATTTAAAACCCCGCACTATGTAGTATTCATTTATATGCAATAGGTACGTATAACAGTGTAAGATAAGATAGTTACTAGACTCCACAGAATTGGTAATTCATTTATGAGGCTATGTTTACGCTTTTACAGAAAAGTCGTAGAAAATGTACAAAATATGTCATTAAAAAGTTTAAATGTTTTAATAATCAAAGGTTTATTTAAAGAAAAATTGTACAAAAAGAGTTATTATAGTATCAAAGAATACGTAAACGAAAATAACCCCTGGGAATAAGGTGATCGCCACTATGCTGGTTCTATAAAAAATAATTCAAAAATTGTACAAATTAAATTATTGTAAAGTGAAATATGTTTAAAAAAAAGTCCTACTGAGTTTCTTGCTGGTTCTTCCCAGGACAGAGGATTTTTCCCGAACCCGTGGTAAATAAAAAAATTACTTTCAATAAGTATTATACAATAATCTATATTGAATAAAAATCATTCATTTCATTTTGATAATAGGTAGATACAGTACACTAGATGTTACATAATAAGTACCTACTTTCACCGAAACAATCAACACTGAAATTCATAAATTATATGTAAGGCAAGCACCTGACATTGAACTAACGAAAAGGTAAGTCGGATTGAAGGACAAACGTTCGCCCGTATACAAATATTATACGTATCGGTCTACATCACGGTCGATTCTCCAACAGTAAAAGTAAGTTTTTAATCACAACAAAATGTTTCTTTTTTCACTTTGATTTTTTATGGATTTTCTCTTAGATTTTGGTGTGAACTTTGCTTCTTGCACAAATTTCAGGATTACATGATAACAGATAGTGCCCTAATACGTTAATTTATTTGCGAGTATAAAAAATTACTAGTGGTAAATCCAAATGTGCATGCTATAAGCGCTCATATTATACGTCAATTTTAAAGTATTTTAAATACACACAAGTTTTCACTAATATTTTGTTACTATACTTTTAATTTTCCGATAATTTTGTGTCAATCGTCAATTAAAAAAAAAGTTTGCTAAATCCAAAAGCACGACTCATGATGCTCACATTTTTTCCAGGACGCATAAATACATTAAAAGAAAAGTGCAGAAAAAATGTGATCAACCATAGAAAATATCTCTTTTTAATTTTACTATGTTGTTATTATTGAGATGCCTGCCTCGTTGGTCTAGTGGTTGTAGTAGTGCAACTGCTGATCATGAGGTACTGGGTTCGAATCCCGGGTTAGGCCAAAAAATCAATCATAAAGTTTTTCCGTCAAGAAATTACCAGTTTCCCGGAGTTAGGAAGATGGCGGTGTCTCACCCTCGTGCCTTGGAAAGCACGTAAAGCCGTTGGTCCTTCGCCTGATCTATCTCCGGTCGTGTCGGTTTACCGTCCCATCGGATTATGAGAGTGAGGGAAGAGAGTGCACATGTAATTGCGCGTACACTTGGGCACTATAATCCTGTGCTGCGCCGAAGGCTAGTCTCCGTTGAAGCAGGCTGCCGTGACCGAAATCCGGTCTGTAAGAAATACGGACATTATTACTGGGATTCAAACATTTTTTTTTAGTATTGTTAATTGAAATAACTTTTAAGGGAATTATCTTAAAACGGTCAGAAGTCAACTTTAATATAAATTTATTTTTTAGGTATTATCGTAAAAACTAGTTTTTTTTTTACCTGACTCGTTAATAAATCTTTTTCTCATCAACTTCATTTCATTTTCGAAAAGTTTTTCATCTAGTCATAACCGATATTTTAATTTAGCATTACCAAAATACACCTTCAGGTCTCTCCATCAAGTCCGGAGGTAAGGTCTCAATATAACTAACAGACAAGGCTAAACTCGGTACACCTAGTTCTACTCTTCGAGGAGTTCCGGTAGCACTCACCGAAGTACTCCTTCAGGTCACTCTTTCAAGTCCGGAGGTAAGGTCTCATTATAACCAACATAACGAGCACAATCTAGGTATACCTAGTTCTACTCTTCGAGGAGTTACAGTAGAAGATACCGAAGTACACCTACAGGTAATTTCATAAAGTGCAAGACGTATAAGTATATTAATATATAAATCCTCGCCACGGCGGCCGAGCTCGGAGTAAGTCAAAGCGCATTTAATAAAATATATTGTTACAAGGTTGCTCAAATCGTCGAAATATTCAAAATTGCTTACCCAAAAAAAAGTTATAACTAAACAAAACAAAATTAAACTGACATTTACATTCCATGGCTTCCCACGTGATGAAGAGATTAAAAAAAAAAGATTGAGTTGAAGAATTGATATTTTCAAAAGTCTTATTTATTATCTTATTTACCCCTTCATGCGGACTTGATAAATCTACACCATAAGAAATTAAAATCCCTTTTTAATTTAAAAATAGCAATTAATCTATTTAAAAAAATAAGTTCAACAATCATTTATCTTGTGTGAAAAAAAAAATAAGTTCAACAATCTGTTGATTTCTGACAATGTGCTTTTTATATCACTTATATGTTCAATATGATTGTTAGATATGATTTCATGCGACAAAACGTTGGATTCTTAATTTTTAGACGTTAGTAGAACATACTTGCGCGCTTTGCGCCTAAGGCATGCAAAATGACTACAAGTTTATAGTTATTACTTTACATAAACTGTGAAACCTTGCTTCTTGCCATTCATGATTCCAGGCCTATTGGCCATACTATAGGGTAGAGTAAGTTTGCAAATACCAAATGCGACATAAATGACCGTATCGTTTAACTACGTTGAATTAAACGCTTGTATTATACTATGACTAAGGAACTTATTTCTGTGAAATGCCTTTACAGACGAACAGATGGACGGACGGATGAACAAACGTAAAATATAGTGATGCTTTAACTGTTCCATGGTTTCCTTTCAAGTAGCGAAACCCTAAATATGAACAAAGGAATATAAATTAATTATTTTGTATAACCCTTACGAAGTGTATGTACATATGTGCAGATTCCTTTGCTGGTTTCGTATTAGGTTGTAAGAACTACTTTCCAGGCATTTAAAAGTTATGTTGAAAGTTGACCTTCTTTCCTAAAATGCCGTCCGTGTCCATGGCTCTCTGCCCCCCCCCCTCCACCTCCTTCACTACGCTACTGCTACTGATCTGACATATTCATGGAAAATCCATAAATACTGACTGCGGTGGCCTCTTACCAACAGAAAGCTTATAAACACATATGAGATTTCACTAAAATTTTGCTGAAAATTTTCCATGGATTTATCATATAACATTTTTTATATAAGTAAGTTTTTGACAAAATGTCCCATAACGCTGAGAATGTGGTTATACATATAGATAATTAGATAATAATAATAATGTCTTTCAGACCAAATTTCGGTCACGGCGGCTAGTCTCAACACAGACTAGTCATCTGCGCAGGACATAGTCATATTACAGTGTGTGCGCACTTCTTTCTCACAGTCCGATGGAACGGCAAGCCGACACGACCTTATAGACATCAGACGCAGGACCAACGGCTTTACTTGCACTCCGAAGCACGGGGTAGAAACACCACCAATTTTCTGACTCCTGGCTACGACTGATAATTTCTTGATAAGAAAAACTAATGATTTTTGATCCAACCCGAAATTCGAATCCGAGTCAGTGGTAGTGGACGTAAGTGCGGTTGTTCAGCAACCGCACTTACGTCCACTAGTATAAATTTTCAATCTAAATTGTTATGTAGTAAGCAATTGAAGGAAATGTCTCAATCAAAAATGTTTCGTCAGGATGAATTATGATAAAACTTATTTTGAGTTGCTATCTTCTATAGTTCTTCTATAATATTAAGGTTTGTCACATATTAAGCACTTATTTGATCTTGAACCGTTCCTGTTGCTATAAATTTTGCTACTCTAATATGAATGATTTTCGCCTAATAAATTCATAAGCAATTATATTTTGTAAATTAAAGAGTTTTCTTAAATGTAACGTGGTACTTAAAGTTAAGACTAAATTTTGAAAGTAAACAAAATTTATTCGGCGTACAATTCCATTACACATGAAAAACAAAAGATTGCTATCTCTTCTTTGAAGTTGAGTTAGATTAGAAAATAGCCTAGCTATACACGAAAGGTTGTGGCTGTGACTTTATTGCCCACTAAGGAACTATAAAACCGAGGCCTTTTACGATGGGATGCTTGTTGCGAGTGATACTGGTCGGAGAAAAAGTTGTGGCAAAATAATTGAAGATAGGGCTTTATATTATTTCAAAATCATTCTATGAATGTCTAAATTACGTCAAAAAAGAAATGACTGACTGTCAGTTCTTTTTTTAAACTACGCAAAATTTGTAAATTGTGTACATAACATTGTTTTTAAAAACTTAACACGCATTTCTTTCTATTTTTCTGTCACAAACGTATAAATCTCTAAACTGTGCCAATTTCTATTCTGCCAAAGCGTCATCGAGTGCGGTTGAGTAGCGCGTAGGTTCTTGTGCTCCCACTGGTTGATCGCGAGTGGGGTCGCGCTCCTGAAAGTGTCGTTATAAGTTGGCGCGGTAAAGTTTGTACGGCATGGTGTTATCCACCCACCTCCCACATCGATCGAAGTTGCGGCGCGCGCACCACCCCTTGCCGCATATATACCGAGGGACTGTCGTGTGGTCCTCACAACGCAAGAGGACGCGCGCGAAAGTACGCAACGCCGCTCGCCCGGGGCGCCGCTCTCTCTCTCTTTTCTCCCTTTTTTCTCTGTTCGTCTGTTTCTTGCTGATGCGGCCGCGCTAAGGCTGATGCAGGCGCCGCCATGCCGCGTTGCCTCATGGCCAAGAAGTGGAAGGCAGCTCCAGCGGCGGAGCTGGCCGACGAGTCGGATGAGGAGATCGACGTGGTTGGTGAGGGGCGCGGCCGGAGCCCCGCGCCAGCCGCCACAGCACCAGGGCCTTCACCCCGTGATCCTGAGCCTACGCTTCTCTACAACGGTAAGCTCTCGCTTCCTATTTTTAAGCTTCGCTACATCCATAGAACAGCACTTCTGGGCTTACTCCAGGGCAATAAGTAAAGTTTTCATATAAACAAACACCAAACAAGTAGGACACAGATCCTATTCCATTGTTGACAACGAGATCTGAAAGAATACAAGAGAAAATTACAAGTACTATTAATATGGTTTATTTCCAGGAAGTTATAGAAAAGAAATAAATATACTTTAATACCTTATAAACAAGCTTATAATCATCATAGCTTAACCTTCATCCGTAATACTTTCAATGAACATGCAATACCTTAAATTATTTTTAGTAATTTGTTTATGATTTGCTCAATGCGACTGCAAAATGTTTTGCGAATGAGTTATAATGAATTTACTTTATGCAAAGCACATGCGAGTTTAAAAGGTTCAGTCATTGAGGTAAAACATTTTATTTTAATAATTTAAAAAAAAACTCAATAACAAGAATATCGGACAATATTAGCTTTACTAAGGGCAAATACGCACGCACGACCACATGCTCTGGAATATTTTCGGTTATTCGAATTTTCGAAAGATAATTGCCTGGAGCTCGAATTTAACTGTAACTGTCAAACACCTAAAATCAATAATTGTATTATTAATGGTAAACTACCAAAATATACTCGAATGTGTAACAATACTATAATAATTTGTGTTACGCTTTAAATTGCAAGAAGAGGACTTATTTATTTCCTAATGATAAATAGTATGGGAGAAAGCTTTGCGAATTGATTGTTTCGAAGTCTTATCGGTTCTCTTTTTATAGGTCCGTGAGCCCATGCCTCGGCTTTTGAGACTGTGTTCAACACATTTCAAGCATAACGATAATAACGGTCAAAGTAAATATCCTTTTGGTCTAAGTAAAGTTGTTTATTAGAGGTCGCCATTATAAGTGTATATCTGTGGTTGAGAAAAAAGTAAAAATGACGTAAGAATAATATTTCGATACCTACACAGAGCATGTGTTCAATTGCATTGTTCAATATTGTTAGGCTTCTTCGCAGAGGTCCGCGTTTATATCCTGGAATGTATTAGGAAACTCAAGCTTTTGGTCATCGTTTACGTCCGAATCATTTCCAATGTTTTAGTTTCGTTCATACGCACTTAATCTAAAGAGAAAAGGGCAAATAAGTTACAATGTAACCTTTTTTTTTCTTTATCAGTCAAGTTAGCCTCTTTACCGACGGTCGGTGTTTTTTCCTTCGAAGTTTAGCTTTTGAGTTGAGATACCGATTTCATTTTATGAAAGATCGTTTGCTTAAATTTGTTTGCTTCAACTATTACAACCACACTCTTGACAAGAAACGTAAACAAGATACAGTTTATGGAAGTGCCATATGGAATTACCCTCAGTTTTTTTCCCTTAATAAAAATTCTTCTGACGATTATATTTATGCGAATAAAAACTGAAATAATTAATTTACAGTACACTAAATAAAACTAATTTTACGGACTTTATAAGAAAAATATGTTCAGTCATACGACACTGCTAAGTTTCACTATATCCGTACGTTAAATAATCATAATAAATCTACGAGTAACGTTCGAGATATGACGGCCACTAAATCAGCCATAAATTGTCTACACCGTGAAATTATCTGTGTATGGCTGTATCTGTTTTACGAGTATCTATTCAGTTTTTACGGCATATGGAACTGTTGCGATTGGTCTATACTTAAACGCTAAGATTTGGCGCAGAAAAATCTTTAGTGATATCTAATATAATAAAGCGTAATGGAACACACAGATCATAATTAATATGATCCGTGACGAAGGAGTATTGGTAGAAAAAATATTTTTTTACACGAGAAAAACATCGGGAATTTTAACATTTCATTCTTGTGAAAGTACTCAAGAAGAATAACCTATGTACATAATATGTATATAATGTACGAAACTAATATATTCCTAATATACATTACTTGCTTGTTCCATAATTCGCAACATTGCACCGGGCTACGTCAAAGGTAGATCTTGTCGCAGTCTGCAACAAAAGAAGCTTGCTTTTTATTTTATTTTCCTACATCTTCATTAGTAGCGAGAAAGCATGACGTTTTAATAAATAACAGTTGATGATATTATGTTAATATAAGATGATGCAGCTTAATACAAGACTTTTAATAACGAAATAATTTATTAATATAAAGCATTTCTCTACAGGTTGCCACATAATATCATAGTGCGCTTATATTTGTCCCACAAGTACTAGGTACATTACATGTTGCATCGTCCCTATTGCGCAACAGATAGAAGACCGCATTTTCAATTCTTATATCTCGTAAAAACGAAATATTGTACTTACAGTTTTAACGTGTACGTTATTAAATATAATTTAAGTAAATTTACGATACCATTGATGACTCTGTAATGAAAAATATATAGCATTAAAGCAGTTATTAGTATCTTAGCACTCGAGATTAAGCATAACTTTTCCCACTATCGGATTAAAAACGGGAAGTCTCCGGCAGAAAACCGCTTATAACTTTTTCCAATAAACCACTTATTACTTGAATTATAGTACTAGGTACTTTTTCACAAACTTTAATCGAAAATGGAAATAGTTCTATACTATTTAAAAGAAACTTTATTGGTTTACAAAATAACTTTGAAGGTCCAAAATATTAAGTGAATCAAAGCTAAATGATCAGCGTAACTACAATGGGTTCCGAGTTCTATTCTCATTTGCGATTTATGTGTTATGCTTAGTCGGGATATTTGAACACCGGCAATAGTTTTATTGTGAGAATCCCTGCTACCCCGGCATTATTTCCTACCCTTGCTATGATTCTAACACATAAATATTACATCGTATCCGAAATGCGACGAGTAAGCTTTTTCCAGAATATTAATACCACGTGCAGAAAAGGTAATGTGAAAAGGATTTCAAGAGGCAACAATCATTTAGACAAAAAATTATTTAGACCGATGGGAAGTTAAAGAACGCAAGCAGTCAGCATATCTGACATATTTACGAGTATTCGACATTACGTCAAAACTTAAGGGAACCACTAATATCACTTCAAATAATAACTTAATAATTTGCGCTTTTATGAGATTACGAGTATTAGAGAAAAGAAAAATAATTTAGATCAAAAAAATTAAATTAAAAATATTACTACCTCTACTTTTGTTACTCCCTATCGTGGAGGTTTATATACATAAATTACTTATGGATAAACAACTAGACTCAGAACAATTAATTGTAGACTAAAAATATTTGTTATGTGAAGGATTCGCCCCCGCGGTTTAGCTACTGAGCTACCAAGCTATCAACATAAATATACTTGTTAAGTTCCCGCTAAGAAAATTAAAAATTTTCAAAAATAGGGAAGTTATTGGTTTCACCCCGATTTTCGAAAATCGAGTTTTCATCAGATCTCGACGTTTTGAGATCCCAGGAAGCTATTCTGACTAATTTCACGTGGACGTCCGTACGGATGTATGTATGTACGTGTGTTTGTGTGTGTGTGTGTGTGTGTGTGTGTGTGTGTGTGTGTGTGTGTGTGTAAAAAACAGTTTTTTAGAATAACTTTTAAACGGCTTTACCGATCGATTTCAAAAACTAATCAGCTCATAACCTCAAATGTCGAATGCCATAAATCGGTTCATTCGTTCGTGAGATATTGAAGAAGAAAGAATTTGAAAAAAAACGTTTTTAACATAACTTCAAGATTTTGCAACATAATTTGGTGAAATTCGGAGCGCTTTGCATTTGAAATCAGCGGGAAGTTCTAGGGATGGCCTGCAGGGGAAACTATTTTTTTTAAAGCAGGCAGACATAAAAACATACTAAATTGCATGATTAGTCCATGATTAAGTATCAGGCGATAAGCGTTCACCTTCAATTTCGTTAATGACCTCAGTTGGATCCCCGTCAGGACTCTTTTCTGCTCCAATATCTGTGAGGGAGGCTTGTGCCCATCAGTGAGACGTACAGCGACTATTACTTTATTTTTGAAATCCCATTAAAGGCCAGTCAAAATAATTATTACTTTCGACATGAGATGTCTTCATACAGTGCATTAAACCGGACTGATGATTTTGTTAACTCTTGTGTAGAGAGCTGTCCTAATTTCCGAACATCGCTATTCAAAGAAAGAAACAAATTTAATATGATTATACTCCAGGAACAACTAATCTCTTTAAGTATATCGAAATATGTAAAGTATTTTTGAATTGACTATGATAGGTAGAAACAAAAACTTTATTTACTGTATTTATTCCAAAACCTCTTCAATTTATAATTCAAAAGACACTTTTCCATTGAATCATTGTGGCACAAAATCTAGATAATACAGTTTTGAAAAATAGTTAACATTATTTCAAGACGATGGTACCTATGATGAATGATAAATGAAATTATTATTTAAATTACATCGCCATTAGATATTTTATATTACAACTAGTCATATATACTAGTCATATATACAAACATATAAGTACGTAAACTACTACTGAACCATCAAATGAAACAGTCGAGTAATCACGCGGAAGATGTCCCCAGAGGGTTCGGATGGGCATCGTGCGCAAAGCGCGCTCGAATTAAATCGTCATTTGGGTTGCCAAATCCGATTATCGAGTCCGAGCAAACCGTCGTCGTGTGAATCGAACGTATATGAGGACCCGACACACTCGCCGAAAGCTAACCAAGCACGAATGTTGATTTTCATAGTTATTTTCATGCACTCGACATATTAATTTTATTTAAAATATATACAAATTATAAACGGTATTTTGATTTCATTCTTAGAAAAGGCTAATATTCAACATCTTAATTTTTAGTAACAGTGCATTCGACAAAATATAGTATATTTTATTATATTTTAAATAATTAAAGTGACAAAGGAGCACACAGTAATCCTGATTGCAAGTGCATGCATAGATGACATCTACCCTGGATTGCGAATCAAAATGCAGATTCGTAAGGCGTTGTTACCCCTGAAACTAAGTTGTAATACCGCCTTTGCACTTAAAAGGGTCTCCGGTTCTCTACACTTACCATACGAAATAAAAGAGCGTTAAGCTGCTATTTTGCGTTGCTATTCTGTGAG